TTCAAATTTGAAGTTGCTTGTAATTTTTCACCTTAGGTTATTTTTTGTTTCCTTCTGTTTTTCAGGCTTCTATTCTTTCTTTGGTGACAAAAATAAACAATGTGATTGATAATTTGATTGTGGCTCCAGGGACATTTGAAGTGGTGAGTTTTTGATGATTTAGTCTTAGGAAAGGGCAGCCTTGGTAGTGTAGAAGTTTCCTTGGCTCCTGTCTCTTAATTCTTTTGTTGACTGTTATCTAAAGCCAAGCCTAAAATGGGAAAGTACAGTGGAATTCCTTTGTAGTACTGATTTTGGGGATCACTGTTGGCATCTAGTCATGATGTATCAGGCTTGTCATGTGTGTGTTTGGGGATATGACTTGACCTCTCCTACATCCAAATCTGGGTAATAAGAAGCTGTGTTGTAATTGAGTTCTGAGAGGAACAAGGAGGTCTTTTCACTTCTGATCTTTTCTTCCTGAAATCCCTTTTCTAACAGCAAATTGAAGAAGTCCGACAGGTCGGATCATATAAAAAGGGAACGATGACTACAGGACACAATGTAGCTGACCTGGTGGTAATCCTAAAGATTCTGCCAACATGTGAGTGTACCTCTTTCTGGCCACGGGAGAACACAGCAGTTGGGTTTGAAGCATAGGGATCTTTAAAGCCCAAATTTCTCTTCTTTGCACCCCAGGGGACATTTGGTAGTATCAGGAGTTGTTTTTGGGCTACTGGCGTCAAGGGGATAGAGGCCAGGGATGCTGCTAGGAATCCTACAGTGCACAGGACAGATCCTACCCCCAACCCCTCCCAAAAAGAATTATCCAGCCCAAAATGGCATTAGTGCCACTGATGAGAAGCCCTACTGTGGGAAGAGGGTGTGGATATAGGAGGATGTGTCCTGTCCTGTTTCCTGAGCCTTCCAATATTTCTGTCCCGGCATTAGCGTCCACTTGTAAAAGTGTTAATTTTGTCGCTTGCCCTTGTTCCAGCCTTGAACATGGGGCAGAATCAGAGTGTAAAGCAGATTTAATGTAGAGATTTATAGAAAGTCTACATAAATAATAACAATGTTCATTATCTCCTTTTCTCTCAATCTAGTGGAAGCTGTTGCTGCCCTAGGGAACAAAGTTGTCGAAAGCCTAAGAGCACAGGATCCTTCTGAAGGTTTGAGTTTGTTGCTGAACATGTATTTAGTGGTCATAGAAGCCTGGTTTATAGTTAAAAGTACACTTTTAATAAAGTCAGGTCAGGCAAGAAGGAAGAGTGAATGCAGAGTTTTATGTTGGGGAAGTTTTTGCAGAGATCTCCAGTGTTCAAAATCCAGTCAATCTCCCTTACTTTTAAAAACTCTGTACTCTAAATCCTCATTCTGGACTCGGTGTTTTTATTTCTTAGTTATTTTTTTTGAGGAAGGTTAGCCCTGAGCTAACTGCTGCTGTCAGTCCTCCTCTTTTTGCTGAGGAAGACTGGCCCTGAGCTAACATCTGTGCCCGTCTTCCTCTACTTTATATGTGGGACGCCTACCACAGCATGGCTTGCCAAGCGGTGCCATGTCCGAACCCGGGATGTGAACCGGCAAACCCCAGGCCGCTGAGAAGCGGAATGTGCGAACTTAATTGCTGCGCCACTGGGCTGGTTCCTCTTTTTTTTTTTTTCCCCCTCCCAAATCCCCCCCAGTACATAGTTGTATATCCTAGTTGTGGGTCCTTCTAGTTGTGGCATGTGGGACGCTGCCTCAGCATGGCCTGACAAGTGGTGCCATGTCCGTGCCCAGGATTCGAACTGGTGAAACCCTGGGCCGCCGAAACGGAGCGCATGAACTTAACCATTCGGCCAAGGGGCCGGCCGCCTCTTGGTGTTTTTAAAACTATATCTGTTCCTCCACCCACGCACCCCAACCCGGATTTACCTTTGGTAGTCTAATGGAAATGTGAGCGTTATAACTTTTGGTTTTTCTTTTCTTTCAGTTTTGACCATGCTGACCAATGAAACTGGCTTTGAGATCAGTTCTTCTGATGCTACGGTGAAGATTCTTATTACAACAGTGCCACCCAATCTCCGAAAACTGGATCCAGAACTCCATTGTTAGTCCTTTTTTTCCATTGCTGGGAAATTTGGGGGAAAGTCAAAATATGGTATAAAGTTACTGTTGCGTTTACTTAGCTTATTGCTATTCCACATGAAACCTCTGGCACCTATGTTTACCTCCAAACTTTGCTATGTCCCTCTGTAATTTGGAGACAGTTTTACCAGCTTATTAGTGAAACTGTCAGACAGGATGGCCAGGAAAGCAGTATGAGGACTTAAGAAAAAGGTCTGAGGAAATATTTATGGAGGGGGTATGCTTTGGGAGAAAATCATGATCTTGCATGCTTCTAGATTTAGTTTGGGGGAGGAATAGTGATTTGGGGACAAGTGATTTGCTGACCTGAGGAATATGTGGTAGTTTAAGGAATTACTAAGTTAACCTGTCCTCCTTCCAAGTTCTTGGAGTGTGGCAATGGGATTGAATTGCTTGCTTACTAATAGGAATGCTTCATCTTGTCCTGTCATGCTTGTCGTCTAGTGGATATCAAGGTGTTGCAGAGTGCCTTAGCAGCCATCCGTCACGCACGCTGGTTTGAGGAAAACGCTTCTCAGTCCACGTGAGTCCCTCCCTCACTGTTTAAGATAACCCAACCTTCTAATTACAGTGAAAGACAGAATACCCCATACCTCCTCTTACAGGACTTTTTCAGTTGTGATCTTCTGTCTCGATTTTGATTTTTACCTTAAATAAGCAAATTTAGATTGAGAGAAAGAAGAGAATGTGTAGTTCTGGAAATAGCTTCAGCTCTGTACCTCAGGTGTGGAAGGTACATGATCTTACTACCTTTAATCCCTGGGTCTCTTTTACCTTCAGAGTTAAAGTTCTTATCAGGCTGCTGAAGGACCTGAGGATTCGTTTTCCTGGCTTCGAGCCTCTCACACCCTGGATCCTCGACCTACTTGTAAGTAAAGAAGGGCATTTGGAGTTCCTGATCATCCCTATTTAATAGTAGTTACTTTGAGACCTACCAGAATCTGAAATTTGGTGAAGCTTAAAAGAAATCTCATTGGTGGGCAAGTAATCCAATAAAGATTCAACATTTCATTGGGTTTTTGGAGTACAGTCATGCATCACTTAACAACTGGCTATGTTCTGAGAAATGTGTTGTTAGGCGATTTTGTAGTTGTGTGAACATCATAGAGTGTACTTGGACAAACTTAGATGGTATAGCCTATGACACCTAGGCTATATGGTACTAATCTCATGGGACCACAGTCATAGACGCTGTGTGTGGTTGATCGAAATATCATGTGGTGCATGACTGTATTCAATTAAATTGAGTAGTTATTACTGCTCCTGGGTCTTTTTCATTATTGCTGTCATTTCATTAATGTGATAATGGAGAGAAATTACTGAATGAACAGTCATTTCAGAATTGCTTCTGAACCTGAAAATTTTGGCTAGACCTTAATAACCAGTTTTCCTCATGATGGTTAACTTTTAGTTTGTTTGAAGATACACTTGCCACATTTATGGCATACCTACCAGATTTATTATTTTTTCAGGGGCACTATGCTGTGATGAACAATCCCACCAGACAGCCTTTGGCCCTAAATGTAGCATACAGGTATAGCATGTGTTTTTGGGTTTGGGGCTGGATGTAAGCTGTGTGTTCTTTTAATACCTCCCTGTGTTTCAGGCGTTGCTTGCAGATTCTGGCTGCAGGACTGTTCCTACCAGGGTCAGTGGGTATCACTGACCCCTGTGAGAGTGGCAACTTCAGAGTACACACAGTCATGACTCTGGAACAGCAGGTATTAGGACAGCTCTGGAATGGTCTGTTATGCCCCACTCTTGGATGCTCCTGATCAGAAGGCAAAAGGGTCAGGGATTTGAGGGTTCTTACAGACTTTGGTTTTCAAATTAAAAGTTGTCTACATCTCTATTTTTATGAGAATATTAGTCAAATAAAGTATTTTGATTTTCCTTGAAAAATAAGGTACTTAGATTTTCCTTGCTAATTTACCCTCACTTTGCTCCCCTTCAGGACATGGTCTGCTACACAGCTCAGACTTTGGTCCGAATCCTCTCACATGGTGGCTTTAGGAAGATCCTTGGCCAGGAGGGTGATGCCAGCTGTGAGTGACCACTGTGGGTCAAGGGTTCTTTATGGTACTCTGTGGTCTACAAAGAAAGCAGCTCTATGCTACTCAGATGTCTGAATATTTCTGCCTTGTGGATCCTGACTTGTATGCTGGGCTACTTGTCTGAAATCACCTTTTTTTCTTTTAGATCTTGCTTCTGAGATATCTACTTGGGATGGAGTGATAGTGACACCTTCAGAAAAGGCTTATGAGAAGCCACCAGAGAAGAAGGAAGGAGAGGAGGAGGAGGAAAATACAGAAGAACAACCTCAAGGAGAAGAGGAGGAAAGCATGGAGACTCAGGAGTGACCTTCCCTTGTCTTCACTTCCTTTCTTACCCAAGGGGAAGACTGGAGCCTAAGCTACTGGTCTTTGTATGGTGGCATTTCTGAGGGATAGGGCAGACAGGAAGGGAAACAAAAATGAATTCTATAGAAGGAAGTGTCATTCCATTGGGTTCTGATATTGACGCAGTAGCCAGAAGTCTCCCGTTATTACCTATGCCATCTATAGTGAAGCAGGATACCAACTTTTCTTCCTAATACTCTAGAATCCCCGGGTCCTGGAAACCTCTCTCAACCAGTACTTTGTTGTTGAAATGTTGTGAACTGTTAGTGTCTAGAAATGTTTTTTCTAAGAAAAATGATTAAAGTACTTCCTAGTAGGGCTCTTGGTCCTGTTTTTCCTTGGTGCCTGACGACCTTGTTTGCTTCCTTTTGCTTTCTAGACTCTTTATTGAAAATGATACTTGAATCTTCATTATAAACAACTAGATCACAATTTGAAGCTGTAAAGTACAAAGACACTTGGAACCTTTCCATATACCAGAGTAAACTAGAATACTGTTTAAGCATTTATTCAATTAAATGGTTCTAGCAACACTGCTACTGTATTCAAGCCAGTGCAATCAACAAAAGAGGGTAGGTGGGTCATTCACCTTGACTTTGCCTTCCTCCAAATTCTCAGTGTAAACAAAGGGAAATGAGAAGTCACAGGGAGCAGACATGTTGCCCAGGTGCCAACAACCACACATGTAACAGGAAGCCCTCCCTGATTAACTAGGCTTGAAGGTAGAGTAGGTGGGCCTTGAATATGTAGCTTTAAAAAAAAATCAAATGTTAGGGCCAGCCCAGCGGCGCAGCAGTTAAGTGTGCACGTTCTGCCTTGGCAGCCGGGGGTTTGCTGGTTCGGATCCCGGGGGTGGACATGGCACCGCTTGGCAAGTCATGCTGTGGAAGGCGTTCCACATATAAAGTAGAGGAAGATGGGCACAGATGTTAGCTCAGGGCCAGTCTTCCTCAGCAAAAAGAGGAGGATTGGCAGCAGTTAGCTCAGGGCTAATCTTCCTCAAAAACAAACAAAAATAAAGGTAGAGGCCTCAGCTCATTCTTGGAAGGAAGCAAGAGCCATAATCCATTGGGATCCTGAGTCCTACTGTACACAGGTTTCTTTGGGGCCCCACATAAATGGATCAGACCTAAGTGCTTCAAACACAAACCACAGGGCTGCCTTTTTAATGTCCTAAGGTTTAAGGGAGTCCTGGAGGAAACAAGGCAGCTAGGGAATGGTACTTGTGCTATTCTGAGGCCATGGGCCCATCTTCTGGCCTGTTACTTGCTTGGGGAACCAGGGGGGTAAACTCCTGAATCCAGCATTGCCCTCCTGCGGGCTGTTTCCTTGGCAACACTGTGGTTTAGCCGCCTCAGCCGTTCCTACAAGAAAGATTTGGAATGTAATTAAACTGTTCTGTGAGAGGCCTTAGAACTGTCAACCAGGCGCTGGAAAATACCTTAGGCTTGCTCCATCTCAAGTTAAGTCTTCTAAGGTATATGAGAATGTAAATGACAGCAACTGGGTATTGAGAATAAGAACAGTGAGTTCGGGCCGCCCCGGTGGCACAGCGGTTAAGTGCGCATGTTCTGCTTCGGCGGCCCAGGGTTTGCTGGTTTGGATTCCAGGTGTGGACATGGCCCCACTCGTCAAGCCATGCTGTGGCAGACATCCCACATAAAATAGAGGAAGATGGGCACGGATGTTAGCTCAGGGCCAGTCTTCCTCAGCAGAAAGAGGACTGGCAGCAGATGTTAGCTCAGGGCTAATCTTGCTCAAAAAAATAAAAAATAAAAAAAAAAGAACAGTGAGTTCTATTATGGCTGACACTAGTTCAGTTGACAACTCCTTTTTCCTAAAGACTAAAAATTATGGTGACTTTCATTGTGTTGGGGACTTTGTGACATCATTGAAAACTGGAGAATACCCTGAGGACTTAGCAGAACAAAGAACCGCTGTTGGTAGGAAATTCTTTTACCTGGGCATTCTGTAGAATGTTGTTGACCAAGACAACTCGTCGCCGGGCGTTAAGTAGCTTCTTCACATAGGGGTCGAGATCCAGGGCCACTTTCTGATCCTCATTGATACGGCACAGTTCTGTGGGGACGAAAGAAAGGTGCAGCTAACACCTAATGGCTCATTTCTTGTTCTTATGGAAAGCAGGTTAGCATATGGGACAGAAAACACTTTTCTTTTTAAAGATTTTATTTTTCCTTTTTCTCCCAAAGCCCCCCAGTACATAGGTGTGTATTTTCAGTTGTGGGTCCTTCTAGCTGTGGCATGTGGGATGCCGCCTCAGCATGGCCCGATGAGTGCTGCCATGTCCATGCCCAGGATTCGAACCCGTGAAACCCTGGGCCGCTGAAGCAGAGCGCGAGAACTTAACCACTCAGCCACGGGGCTGGCCCCTGGAAAACACTCTTGTACCCACATGGACCACAGTCACTAAAAACTTAAGAAAGGAGGAGTCTGTTGGCAGCCCTGATGTTCTGGAAGCAAGTGACAGAAACCCAGCCCAGAGGCTGGCAAAACATAGGTGCTGAAAGTGAGTTGGGGGGCCAGTCCAGTGGCTGGTTAAGTTTGAGCACTCTGCTTTGGTGGCCTGGGGTTCACAGGTTTGAATCCCAGGTGTGGACCTACACACTGTTCATCAAGTCATGCTGTGGCAACATCCCACATACAAAGTAAAGGAAGACAGGCACAGATGTTAGCTCAGGGCCAATCTTCCTCACCAAAAAAAAAAAAAAAAAAAAAAGAAGAAGAAGAAGAAGAAGAAGGAGAAAATGAGTTGGAGGATTCTGGATATTCAGGGATGTTTACTCACCGGAAGCTAGGTTGTCAATTTGTTCCCGGAGCTCTACCTGGCTCTCTCTGCAAAGAGGTACAAGGCCTACTGACAGTTAACGGAACTCAAGAAACCTATTCCCCTACGTGTTTCCCAAGTGCTGGCAGAAGCCAGCCTCCACCCCCTACCTGCGGCCTTCCGCCGTTCTGCCCTGGCGCCAATCAGTTCCCACCTGAAGCCAGCTGGGCCCATCGTGGCCCCGCCCTTTCTTGGTCCCGCCCCGCCCTTCCCTCTCGGGCACCTGACGGCGTGGACGTGAGAGTCGAGCTGCTGCACAGCCGGTCGCAGGAACTCGAGGAGCCCCTCGGCGAAGAGGTCTCGGCCCGCGGGCCCCGCCACCGGGGTCCCTGCCCCGGACACAGCAGCAGAACCAGCCCCCGCCATCGCGAAACGCCTTTACGTCCCCGGAACCTGCCGCGAGGGCCGCCGGGAACTGAGGCTCCGCTGAAGTGCGCCGCGAGGGGGCGCCCGGGAGGTGCGGGCTCCTGCCCAGGCGGTGGGATTTCTGGGAAATGGAGTCTCTGGAGCGAGCAGGGCGGGGAGAAGGGCTGTGGGGCCCTAGGGCTCCCGGGAGTTGTAGTTCTTTATAGTCTTTGAAGTTGTGGGCTCTGAAAATCTGCAGACACCGGGAGCTGGGAAAGGAACCATTTTGGTAAGGTGGGTACTTCTTGTTTTCTCCAAAGATGAAAAATAAATGCTTATATCCCCAGTTGTCTGTAGCTTTCCCATGTTAACTTTATGAGAAAACCAGATTATATTCATAGTATACTTTTGTATTTCTAAATTTGAGTGTATTTTTTTTTTTAAGATTTTATTTTTCCTTTTTCTCTCCAAAGCCCCCTGGTACACAGTTGTGTGGCTTTAGTTGTGGATCCTTCTAGGTGTGGCATGTGGGATGCCATCTCGGCATGGCCTGATGAGCAGTGCCATGTCCGTGCCTAGGATCCAAACTGATGAAACCCTGGGCCGGCGAAGCTGAGTGCATGAACTTAACCACTCGGCCACGGGGCTGGCCCCCAAGAGTGTATTTTTTAATGGCGCTAAAATATGCATAAAACTGCATGTGACTATTATTCAGCCTTAAAAAGGAATGAAATTCTGATACATGCTACAATACGGATTAAACTTGAAGACTGTAGGGGATCAGAATTCACCACCCCAAAATGTGTCTCTTTGGCTTGATTATTTTTAGGAACGGAAGGCTCAGAAAGAAACTTTTACCTTCCTCCTAAGTGCCTGAAAGAATTTAAGATGGAAGGCCTGTCCCAGGGAGGAGCTATCACCATAGAGAAGTATACATATGGTAGACAGGAAAGCACAGGAAGGCCCATTTTTATCAAAGTTCTCTCTCTCTCTGCTCCCGTTGTCTGTAGATGGCCCAGCAAACGTTAGTTTGCCAAACATTAGCTTTTCCATCTCCATATGAATTGCCTTCCTCCCCTTTGAAGTCACAAACCACTACCCCCAACATCCTCCTTTGCCTTTAGCTGAAGATGGTATTTAAGGTGGTGGCTTCAGCTATTTTGGCACGTTACTCAGTTTTCCTGGGTTTCCCTCATGTATACATGTAATTAAATTTGTTTGAGGGGCAGGCTCTGTGGCCTGGTGGTTAAGTTGGTGAGCTCTGCTGCGGCAGCCTGGGTTTGTGGGTTCGGACCCCGGGCACAGACCTACACCACTGTCAGCCATGCTATGGTGGCAACCCACATATAAAAAATAGAGGAAGATTGGCACAGGTGTTAGCTCAGCACTAATCTTCCTCAAGCAAAAAAAAAAAAAAAAAAACAGAAAAAGTGACTTTCTCCTGTTATTCTGTCTCATGTCAATTAAGTTCTTAGACCGGCCAGAAGAACCTAGAGGGTAGAGGGGTATTTCTTCCTCCACTACGAGACATTATGCTAAGTGAAATAAGCCAAATACAAAAGGACAAATGTTTTATGATTCCACTTATATGAGGCACCTAGAAAAGTGAAATTCATGGAGGTAAATAAGGTTTTGTCTGTTTATCAGAAGAGCATTGCCAGGGGTGGGGTGGGGGTGGGGGAATGGTGAGGTAATGTTTAATGGGTACAGAGTTTCAGTATGGGATGATAGAAAAGTTCTAGAGATGAGTGGTGGTGATGGTTACACAATAATGTGAATTTACTTAATGCCACTGAACTGTACACTTAAAAATGGTTAAAGTGGTTTTTTTTTGTTTTTTTTTTTTTTTGGTGAGGAAGAGTGGCCCTGAGCTAACATCTGTTGCCAATCTTCCTCTTTTTGCTTGAGGAAGATTGTCCCTGAGCCAACATCTGTGCCAGTCTTCCTCTATTTTGTATGTGCGACACCCCACTGCATGGCTTGATGAGTGGTACATAGGTCCTCACTTGGGATTTGAATCTGTGAACCTTGGGCCACTGAAGTGGAGTTTGTGAACTTAACCACTACACCACTGGGTCGGCCCCACTGCATTTCTATATTTTCATTTTTTCCTTCCTCAAAAAACTTTCCTGGGGCCGGCCCGGTGGCACAGCGGTTAAGTTCACACGTTCCGCTTTGGTGGCCTGGGGTTCGCCAGTTCGGATCCCGGGTGTGGACATGGCACTGCTTGGCAAGCCATGCTGTGGTAGGCGTCCCACATATAAAGTGGAGGAAGATGGGCTCGGATGTTAGCTCAGGGCCAGTCTTCCTCAGCAAAAAGAGGAGGATTGGCAGCAGATGTTAACTCAGGACTAACCTTCCTCAAAAAAAAAAAGTTCCTTTAAAAAAACAAACAAAAAAAACTTTCCTTAGTTTTATTTCATTTTTCATGGCTTTCCAGAGAATTTATATCTCTTGTTGAATTCTCAACAATAAGCACAGTCCTCTGTCACTTAAGCTCTAATGTGCTCCAGTGGCTCACAGGTCTGTGAGCCATGGGAGAAGGTGTGTGCGCAGAAATGCTCCTGGTTGGGAGGCCGGCCCAGTGGCGCAGTGGTTAAGTTCGCATGTTCTGCTTCTTGGCAGCCCGGGGTCCGCCGGTTTGGATTCCGGGTGCGGACATGGCACTGCTTGGCAAAGCCATGCTGTGGTAGGCATCCCACGGATAAAGTAGAGGAAGATGGGCACTGATGTTAGCTCAGGGCCAGTCTTCCTCAGCAAAAAGAGGAGGATTGGCAGCAGTTAGCTCAGGGCTAATTTTCCTCAAAAAAAAAAAAGAAAAGAAAAGAAAAAAAAAAGAAATGCTCCTGGAGGTCAAAGGGGTCCATAGAGATGAATGGGTGCCAGAATATTCCACCTTGAGCTTCATCCTCAGGAATTAAGGAAAAGGTATTTAAATCACTGTGGGAGAGTGGTGGTGAGCAGCTGTAAACCTGAGCCCCTGACTGTGGTAAGTTTTGAAGCCTTGTACACTCTTTGTTGTTTGTTATATCTGTTTCCCTGTATCTTTCCCTCTAGGGGTTAGAGGTGAATTCTCATGAGAGGCTGGGGGCTTCTTTTGGGAGCAAGCAGCAAGGAAGGGGGTAGCCAGGGCAATTGCAGCCTGCTTCACACTGAGCTCTTCAAAAGAAGCCCAGGGGACAGAGGGAGTGGTGACAGTGTTGAAGAGAAAAGGAAAAAGGGCCAAGTCCTCGAGGCCTGTGCCGCATGGGAGAGAGGCCGGGGCTGGCCTGGGCTGGGAAAGGCTGTTGAGGGCCCACTGTCCAGACAAGAAGCCCCCCAATTAAGGCCACAGTCCTTTCAGGTACCTCCTTGAAGTAGGGCTGCTGGACTTAGAAAACAGAACAAATGAAAAACCTGGGACACTAGGTAAATTTGAATTTCAGATAAACAACAAATAATTTTTTAGTATAAGTATCTTGTCTGGTAATCCTACTTCAAAGGCTGGTTCTCTGAGCAAAAGCGCTCTGTGTTTCACTTTTATGCTTTCCTTTCCACTCCTCTTCTTATCACCTTGAGTTAGCTCTTATCTCTCAGGGGGGCATTGCAACAGCCTCCCGACTGATCTTCTTGCCTCTGGTCTCTCGACCCTCCAGGTCAGTCTGAAATGACTCTCAAATACCAGTCGGATTACGTAAGAACCCTGCTCAGAGAAAATAAGTGCTGAAGGGGACTTTAGAATCCACCCTGCCTTGGTTTCTTGGACACCTCTGGGCAAGGGTCTTACAGAAACCTTGAAGTTTGATAAGAGGTTGAAGTCCAGTGCTGGTTCAATTATTCATTCTCTAAACACTTATCAAGTTCCAGGCATCATGGCACAAGGTATTCAGTGCAAAACGCCCCTCCTCCCTGCTTACACCATATCACATAGCAGTGGCCTCCAGTCCTTGGCTCTCCACAGAGCCTGGAAGCAGCTCTGCAGGAATAGGCTGCACGGGCTCAGGCAGTATAGCCACACAGTGCCCTCAGCCTGGCGGGCTGGCCACGCCCCACACTCAGTGTGGAGCCTGGGTGGGGCAAAGCGGGTGGTCAGGGTTACCAGAGGGTCCTTCTTGTGGATGGGGGCAGGGGAGGCACAGAATAGTGTCTCGTGATGGCTTAACTGGGGAAGGGGAGCTGAGAATCAAACTTCTTTGGGCCTCTGTCGAATCCAGGTAAGGGACAGGGATTTCCTGGTCCACCCTGCTTTCTGGGAGGTCAGAACTTTGGGGAGCCCTACAATGCTTCAGTGGCGGAGCTGAACAGGGCAGCGTAGGGATGAGAGTGGGGAATGAGTAGGGCAGGCAGTCAGGAGGCCTGAGATTCCAGCTCTTTTATCAACTGGTGCTCCTGGAGAGCTGCCATCCCCACATCCACCATGGGCAAATTCTCTGGTCAGACCAGGATCAGGTCAGACTGTAGGACTCCTGCTTATCACGAAGGGGTCAGAGGATGAGGGTGAGGTCCTGGCCTTCCCAGTGCTGAGGAGTGTGAGGAGGTTGAGAAAGCCCATCTTCTTCTTTAATCTTTCTCGTGTAGCTTTCCCCCATCTCCTCTCGCTTCTCTATTTGTTGACTTGGTTTTCCCCCTGAAATGAAATTCCTTTCAAGGATGTGCTTTGGGTTAAAATCAAAGGGCATCCATTGATGTTAAAAGTTTAGGACATCTCGGAGGAACTCTTTTCACCCAGTTCTCTTCCAGATAGCTTTTTCACTGTGTGTGTCTCCCATCCCTGAGTCTTTGGGGTTCCTTGACTCAATTCCAATGTGTGTGTGCAGGGTTCCCCCACACCTCCGACAAGCAATTCTCAGACATCAGCAGGGTGTCTGAGAATTCAACTCAATTCTGTCACTACCTACCCAGAGATAACATCAGATTCCACAGTTAAAGAGTTCAGTTCTATGAGACTGCCCCCCACCCCTTCCACTTCAGATGCCAGTCCTAAGCCCAGGTCGTTACGTGTACTTCTGACCAACTGGCTGTAAGACAGAGGTTCCCATAACTCCCTCCTAGGATTTGATTAATTTGCTAGAGCAGCTCATAGAACTCAGAGAAACATTT